TTTTCAAGGGGGTAAATACTCAAGGTCCAAATCTGGCAGGCAGTAAGTTGATAGGCTTCAATTATTTATCTGATAAGCATAAAATTTAAACTAGAAATGGCTGTTGAAACAAGAAGTGATGTGATCAGAGAGGAGTCAGCACTCTGTTGGTCTCCCTCAACTGCAGAAACATAGTCTGCTTGCAATTACAGAGTGGTATTACAGAGTGGCGTTTGCTAATCTAACAAACAATCTTTGGCCGAGTACAGTTACCACTTTCCAGAAAGTTTATTTACAGAATCAAAGTTAAGTTAAAACTATAGCTAATATAATTTCCAGCTGTTTGTTTAACCGATGAAAGTGGCTGAAAAAAAAAAAAAATTAGAAGCCTCCTCCTTATATGTTTAGTACATTGCTTATTGCCAACAAAGACCGTGAGGAGCGAGGAGAGATAAAAAATTCAATAGGAGATTCTGTTAACCTTGGAGCTGACTGATTCTGCATATTTTGCCAGCCAGAAAAAAAGGGAAATGACTGCTGGAACTCAACCCAAGTATTTAGCATTGAACGGAAAAATCATTATTGAAAGACACTGTCAAGTACAGAAGGATGCAGTTTGTGGTGCGTTTAAACTGGAGTTCATCATAAATACAATTTTGTATGATTTGATTTACTCTTGTATATACAAGGAGTGATCAAAAAATTCCAAGACTGTGGCGATAAAGATCAAAAATTATTGTTGATTTTAAATTTGTCTGTCGATATAACACTCCTGCAGCACTTGTAACACTCCCTGGAGGTCTCAATATGTACAACATTATCACTGAATCTCCTACAGTGTGTCAAAACTGCAACCTTTCCATTTAAATTTCATTTTAGAGAAGGGGAAGAAGTCAAGTGGAAATTGTGTTGTTGTGGCCATAAAAAACTGTGCGTAATATCTGTACTATGACTGGGCTCACGGCGCATTGGAGCACCTGCATGGCCATACTGTGCCATAGTTCAGGTTGTTTGAGCTAAAGACGTATCAGGACGTCGTTACAGTAGAACTCTGCCTGGACAGTCCGACCCTGGTAGATTGATTCATGGTGCACAAACATGTGAATGTTGAAGAAAACACGGAGCATGTTCTACTTGCTCCTGATCTGATGCACCTTGTTTGGTCTTGGAAACTCCAGGTTCTTTGACTGTGAAAACTGCTGTTTCTGCTCTTGATGGCAGCTGCAGATCCACAGCTTACATCCAGTGGTTACTGGTGACGTGGATGTTGGATCATCTGGCTGCTGAGCGATACAGAATGTGATTCTTGTAAATAGTCACCTTCCAATGGTCACAAAAACATGTGGAACACAGACTCTGCTGTTGTTATATGCAATATTCGGACTGTTCTGACTGCTAGTATACCACTGTAAAATTAATCAGCAGCACACACTACTACCTCCATAATGATTGTATTGTTCAAAGTACACCTCTACAAATGTTGTTTTAGTTTTATATATATTTGCAGTGAGAATGAAAATCTTGGTGTCCGATTTCGAAATTTACAATTAGATAAATTCCATCACAAAACGTTGTCGAGATGCCTTTGTTCAGTTGTATCTTTCATGTGTTTAATTAAAATAGAGACGTGGCTGCATCAGAGCCAAAATAGCATTATTTCTTAAATAAAGAATTTTATCGAGAATTGGCTAACGAAAAATAATGACACAGATCATTGGAAAAATGCTGGATATTCAGTCCGATAGTACAGTAAGAGGCCAGGCTGATAACTGTTTAACCATATTCCAAATTGTTTCATTAGAAACTCCATATTTGTTTATTGCTGGACAATGGTGTTGGACTCTATTAATTTCACAAGAGAGGTGTACCTAATAAACTGGCAGTGACTGGAGTTTATTTCCATATTGCTCAAAGTAAAAGAAAAAAGTTATTTCAGTGCCAGAACTGTACCCCTTTATTGGCTTTTATTTGTATTAGGTCCAGTCGAGTGCCGAAGTGTTGAATTAGCACTTACGACAATGTCGAAAAGAACGGCAGCGAATGCTTTGCTGATACCAAATCCATTGATTAATCAGTGTTCACAATCTGCTGTCATCTGACTTGCATGCCCAAAATGTTTCATATTGTTGTATCTTGTTCTCCCTTCTTCCATCCATCCCACTCCCCACATACTGACACAGACACACACTCGTTGTGTATCTCCAACTATAGTCAGACTCAAGGCGACTGACATTACTGGCATCGCATGGCTCATTCGCTGGTGCAGCTGCTTTTTTCAGAGCTCGCGCTGTTCAATCCTTTGGCCTTGCGCTGCCTCTCCCACCCCTCCCTCGCTCTTTTCTTTCTGTCTTTCTTCCTTGCTCACTCACCAGTTGCCCCTCTCGCCTCCTCCTCCCGCCGTCCTCTTGCCGAGCTCTTCCAGAGGATGACTTCACGCTCTGGAAGAGGGCAGCAGGCAGCGGAGAAGACTGTGGTGGCTATGCTATGTTAGCATCTGAGGTCTCTTCCCAGCAGTGTGGGCTTACAACCAACCAGCTGTAGAGCAGAGAGAAGAGAAGACGAGAGGGGAGGAGGCAGCGAGAAGGAATTTGGAGGAGGATTTGAGAGGAGGAGGAGGAGGAAGAAGTGACAAGGAGAGGGAGGTTGAAAGTTTGATTGCTTCAGCGATGGGGCCATGCGTTGGAGCCGGCGAAGAAGCACTTACTCTGGATTTAAGAGGATGACAGTTCAAGAGACGGGAGAAGAAGAAGAACGAGGAAAGAGCTCGGATTGGCCACAAAGCATTTGAGCTCCAGACGTCCACACAGTGCCGTCAGTGGAAACACATGTTGCTGGGAGGCTGTGATGACTCGCGGTGCTTTTACTGCTGCTACCTTTCTATTCATGGGTCCGTCTATGTGCACAGTTGAAACCAACAATGCCTCTTCTCTTGTTGGAGTGTGACAACTCAGCAAGGATCAGCCCTCAAGTCCCACAACTGAACGGCAGCTCAGGACTGAGATGAGACCGAGTCGAGCAGCTCTTTCCCATCAGGAGTCGGATCCTTCCCGCTCAGGGTTTGATTAAGGCTGTCTGTGGGCTCAGACGAGCTCAGTGATTGTGTTTGTTTCAGACCGGGATCGCGGTGTCTGAAGACAGATCAAAATCAATTTTGCCATTTCCCGAGGCTTCGGTTTTCTGGGTTGTGGGTTACACCAGTGAGTATTAATCATGCTGGGTATCAGCTGATGTGTTTTTTTTGTTTGTTTGTTTTTTTTCAAAGTGGTGACAGGAGGATGAGGCAGGTTCATCGTTTCATTCTTGACCTAAGACTTTTCTATTTCAAGGTGGTATTCTTTACAGTGCAGTTTAAGTGTCATTGACAAAAAGTATAAAAATATCGCCGGAGCGCTGGGGCAAACTCAGCATTTGTAGATTAAATTACCATTGCATGCTGTGTTTAGGGGATGTGACCTGGATCACTGTGAATCCTTTCGGAAACAAAATAAAGGGGAGATAAATTATATCTGCAGGAATCAAGAAAAAGGAATTTACAAGTATTTTATTTACAAAAGGCCTTAATGAACTGTTTATTTTTGTAACTACAAATGAGAATACTGTTACAGTGATTGTGCAAAACGGAGGCTGTTGAATCCTTTTTTGGAGACTTTGTCATTAAACGTCAGACCAACAGCAAATACTGTCACGACTGGGAGCAGCTAGAAGGAAAAGTAGTTTCTTTAGTTGGTTGTTTCATCTGTTTTCTGCCATATATCAGTGTCTAAGTCCTGCTAACAAATTATTGATATTACTAGTAGTTACTGTTGATCAACAGAAGTATTAAACTGTATTTAATTGCATGTTGTGTGGTAATAAAAATTCATGACAGTGATTTGGTGAACAACACAGAAATACTTTGGTCTGCATTTGTCGTGGGTGCATAAAATTAAAGGTAAACTTGGTCATTTGTGATAACTGGTGTACAGTTAAGTATGGTCTGCTGGGACCTAAATGATAAAGGATTATTTCCATGGTCTAGATTGTTGTTAAGTTAAATGGGAAACCTGTTTTAACTTAATCGACATTCATTTACTGATCCTAAGTATGCGCATATTGTCAATAAGGTGAAAGTATGTAGACACTTGCGATTATCCTGTGTGCTGGAAATCTGACAATAAAACTGCTTTATTTGAGTTTAAACTAAGGATCTTAAGCTTACACAAAGTAGGTATTTGATTTTTTTTTTTGTTCACATAAAAATCTTTAAAATCAGAAACATGGATTAAATGCAGAACACAGAATTTAGATCCTCATCACACAAAATTGAGACCTAGAGAGCATAAGATACCACAAGTAATTCCAACAGTGATTTCAGTTTGTGAAGAAAGTAGCACGGTTTAAGAGGTTTAAATGGCCTAATTGTTGAATGTGTTCAAGTGTTGCAGAACTGATTGCTGCACTGTAGGTAAGCCTTTCCTCAGGCCACCTGTGGAGCTGACAGGTTATTTTTCCCACACATTTTTTTTTTTAATAGGGGGAAATGCATAATAATCAGCATCACTACAAGTTTTGCTGCTGTCAATTGCATGCTAATTTCCAACTGCTTCCCCCTGTGGCAAATCAAGAAAACTCACCTTGCTTGATGTTTGTACTCATCCTCCTGTAATTCTGACAGACTCTCGGTTCAACTTTCTGCAGTTTTACAGGCGTTTTAAGCTTCTACTGTTGTCTTTTATCCAAGTCTTTTTGTGTGAGGATGTCAGCGAGATGTCTTCAGTCATGTAGGTGCTCATGACAGGGAGTTTTCAAGGCAGTGACTCACACTCACATCATTACTTCCTCAGTACAGCATTCTCTTCCTATTACAAAGAGAAATAGGAAAAATCAAAAGCTCCGTTTTCTTTTTTAGTGTGGCAAAAAAGACAACTGAATCAATCTGTGCTTTTGAGCAGAAGTTGTTCTGCACACATTCTGTCTTTTACTTGGTTGGACTCCTGTTTTGTGTCTTTAAAACAGACTGAGATAGAAATTCTGTCTTGCAGGTACACAGGAAGATTCGGGAGGACTCGGACATGGCCCAGGACTCCCTTCAGTGCCTGGCCCAGCTGGCCTCCATGCACGGGCCCATCTTCCCAGACGAGAGCGCCCAGATCTCCTACCTGGCCCACCTGGTGGAGGGTCTGCTCAGCATGATCAATGGGTGAGTGTATCACTGTGCTGGAAAAACCCTGTATTGACTGTTATTACAGTACCCATTCTAGTTACAGTATTTGTAGTAGTTTGTGTGCTTGGCTTGTCATTGTTAAGCTGGAATAGGAGCAGAAACTTGAAATACAATGGATGTAGTTGCGGGAGTGTTATTCATCCACTGCCAATCGTACAGTATGTAGTTGATGAAAGTAGCTGGCCCTGAGTTGTGATTTAAAAAACATTTTCCTTTTTACACTGTAGATGTATTTTCTTTATGATACCCAAGTTGAATATTGTTCTGTAACAGGATTAGATGTGAAATTCCAATTATTTTGAAATCATGATACAGGTTAGAGGTTTTGTGTCCATCAGTTCACTGCTTTGTTCCAGACTGAAATATCTCAGTTCTAAAAGTTCAACGTGAGGTTAACATTTGTGGTTTTGGGTAAAATTTCTACACAGTTATTAGTAGAGTAGCTGTGAAATTTTGTATATATATCATATGCTGTACATAAAAGATCGACGTCGCCACTATCCTTTAATTTGTGGACTACTGTTTGGAAGCTTTAAATTGGTCATTTTGGCCCTCGTCATGTTGATTTCTTTGAAACTGGATGTGATGACTGACATCTGTGACTGAAAACTCAAGGACACCAGATTATACAGTAGCAACTTGTCAATCGCAAATCAAAGCATACCCTGCTGAATTGTCTGTTTTTCTCTAAATGGAACTATGATTTACACAGTAAACATCATGCTGTATTGAAGGAGACTTGAAACAAACAATTGGCACCATAAACATAAAAGGAAAATGTTAACTGAGGTAACAAATCAATTGAGAAGTTGGGTCATTTTCTCATACACCTTCATGCAATTAGACTTCTTTTTGTAACCAGAGAAGTCACCCTCTGCTGGATGTAAGAAAGAATGCATGTTTAACGCATTGACTTCCCTTTTCAAACCCAAAAACTACATCCATTAGCCTATAGAACATATTCACGACCCTCTCACGGTGAAATATTACCAGTTTGGTGATTGACTGACTTTCCCTGTTGCACCATCAGCCTCAACTGTGCTTTGTGTTTACCACTAATTGGAGAATGTTAGCATAGCACGTTTACCTAAGAAAATGTTATACCTGCGTAGCATAAACATGTTAGCATTGTCATCGCGAGCTATTTTGCCTGTTGAAAATAGTGTTTAGCTTAAAGCACCACTTTGTTAAATTATAGCCTTACAGAGTTGCTAGCGTAGGTGCTTGTCTTGTTTTTTTTGTTTTTTTTTTTTAAAGTTGTGAGACTTTGGTGACAAACAATGGTGAGATGAACCATGGTTAATCTATACGAACCTGCATGTGAATTAATTGCAAACTTGAACCGTCATAGTGTTTAATACAGATTTACTGCTCCTGTTATGTTTTGCAATTTTAAAGAAAGTCATCCAGGTTGTAGTCCTGCTTACAAACGGAGCTAAAAACATCCCTCGGTGAGGAACGATTCCCTAAATCTCAACGCACGCTCAGAGTGACGAAGCAGTTGACCATGAGAGATCCATTGGACCTCCAGTGGCAAAGTGCAAACAAATTTAGCATGTAGGTCAATATTGTACTCTAGCCTGCAGATTAAACAGAGGTGTTGTAAACTGGTAAACATGAACCACGACATTGTGCCACTCTCTACATTACATTCTAGGGATCGAACCAGTACGCTGTTTCTCAAGGGTATTTATGGATGAAATGGGAAGTTTTGTGACAGCATCTGTCTCATTACAATGCTGTAATCCCTCCTCTTGTCCATACTGCCTGTGAAGAGATTCCCTCCCAGCAAGACAGAACATCAGCTACTGCGAAATTACACAAATTAGAGAACCAAAATTTCACAGCAGGGACCAGTAGAGAATAATATGTTGTATAAATTTAATTTCATCCAGTTGATATTAGAAGTCACTCAGCTGTTTTAATCAGCCGTATTGATCTTTTCATGCTTTGCTTTGATAATTTAACATCCTTATGTTTGATCTGGAATTGTAGAAAATCATTTCCAGTGCACTGACTGCAGAGGCTGTAGGAACAACCTGATGAGACTAATTCAGACCTGCCGACGGAAAGCAGCTCCCCCACAGATGCAGCGGCTATTACACGCCCAGCACGAGCTGCACTAAATTAGCGTTCTCTCCTCACGGATTCTCATTGCACCGGGATATTTTTAGAAATATAAAGACATTCTGGGCAGAAAAATCAAATGAAGGCAAAGAGCTGAACTTAAAATATTTTGTGACTCATGCTCTCTTAACGAGGTGTGATTTTGAGGTAGAAGCCATTTTGCTTTATTGATTTCTGTCATTAAATCTACATCAACTGCACAGAAGGTTAAGGAGTTATAGAAGCAGACTACTCAAATATTGCCTTTAGTCTTTGAGACAGCATAGAAATGAACTGTGTCATAAAAAGCTGCAACCCTTAATTTAGCATTTAATCTAATTTTTGGCTCTTTATTTTAAATTTTATAAATTGTTTTAAATGTATAAAAGAGCAGCAAGTAGAGTTGTTGCATTCCCCTTGGCTATAGTCTCAGTATCTGTTTATCTCCCTCCAGTATCTCAAGGATTTCTTAAATTCAGAGACTCAACAAGTGATGGAGGCCGATGTCAGCAGCAGCGTGACTCATACTGTGCCATTTCTGCTTTATTTACTGGAAGAAATTGCTTGTTGAGTCTCTGTTTTAATGGCCCTGATTCTAGCTTCTGCGCACTCTACGGGAAGCTGTCTTCCATTCTTCAGTTACAAATAGAGTTAACCAGTAAATTATGTTTCCCAGATTTCGCTAAAACCAAATTTATGTTAAAAAGGATTAAATTATCCCTTTGTTCTTTTTCACAGAGACACTGTTTTCAAGCAGAGAGGGCAAAAACCCAACACTAGCAACCATTCAAACACTGGTAAACACTGAGTATGGGTGTGTTTTATGTATGAATCCTACAGTCGTCCTCTAATCTAATACAGAGCTGCTTGACCCTGTAATAAAACTGGATGATGTTCCAATTCCAACTGTAAGCTCTGCCTAACCTTGATTTCTCACAACTCTCACAAAAGCTTTAAACTTTTTATTATTATTTAAATGACCTGCCCTCGAGGTAATCCTTGAGTTCTGTTTATCAGGTCCAATCGAGCATCAACAGCACAATGTTATTTCAAATGTACTGGGAAGAGTTAAGAGAGAGACAGTGTCAAAATACATCTGCTGTCATGGGCTTTGCTATGAGGTCATTTAATGTTGGTGTTCAGTTCCTGTTATAGATTTTCTTTTAAAAATGTAATCTGAAAACTTCTGTTAAGAACACGGGACCTTGCAAAATTCTCAACCTCGACTCCAAATACTTTTATAGTTCCACATTTTTAAAATTGGGCCTTAAAAGCAAATTTTTCTCATTTTTGCGATTCCCTCCAAGCTTCATCATAGCTTATATTTCATTGGAGGGAAGTTTGTTCTGAACATTCACAAACCTGTAGGGATGATTTGCATCTCAACAGCTGCTGCTGAATGTTTTAAAGTTATCAAATGTAGAGCGGTAAATCATTTTTTACCTGAATGACGACTCTTCAATGTTCAAAAATGAATACCTTCACTAGTTTTCACTTTCTTGCAACCAAATTCAACTTCTGTGCAGTATTAATAGAGTTCTGTCTTATTTTAAAATTATTTGAGGCTGCTTTAAAAAAAAAAAAATACCAGAGATCTTTGGAGCTGAACAAAACGCTTTCCAAGGTATTTTTGACTGTATATTTTCCCAAGATTAATTGAATTTTTTGGGGGCATTTTTCTTTTAGTTAAAATTTTCATTGCACATGTAACATTTGGGATGTTATAATATTGCTTTATCGTTTAATATTTTTTGAAAATAGCACATTTTCCACACTTTTCACTGTCTGTAACATGACATTGAGTGGTTTTATTTTGTTGGCATTTGTAGTGTGTATATTTAAAGGTTTTCTGTCTGTGATGCCATCCACCACTTTATTAGGTACACATGAAATTTCATGCAGTCCAAAACGACTTCCTGCACATAAATTCTACTTTTAAAAAGCTGCTACATTTTTAGTTTTTGTTGTCAAAAATGTGATAATTGTACTTTATAGTTATTATTGAGGCCACAGTTAGCAGCGGTTAAAATTCATTGCAGATGTAAAAAAAAAATAAAAAAGGGAAGTTGCTATAATAATTCAATAATTTTCTGTAAACTTGCATTTCTTCCACTTGGAGCATTGACATGTAAGAAGTCCAGAAAATCCTTTAACGATTGTTGGGAATGTAGCAGAACAGATAAATCCAATGAACTGCTTCATGGCGACGTTGGAGTTTTATACGATTGTTGCATCCTTGTGATAATAGTTCATTTATCTGGGAACAATTTCTTCTTCTTTTTTCCAGAAAATGTAGTCTCTCAATATATTTTAATGATTAAACACTGAATCCATATTGCACTTGCTCAGTATTTGGTATCAGAACAAAACAGTTTATTTAGAGGATATTTTTTAAAAGAAATTGTCAAGCAGAGTGCTTTATCTTCAAAATATGAACAGGTGACTAAAATAGAATGAAAAATACATAAAGAAAATAAATGATACACATAGGTGGAAACAAGGAAACTAAACAGTGGTGGTCGCAATAAAAGACAACAGCAAAACAGACACAAAAATACAAGACAGTAATTGCATGCAAAATTGAAGAGCCTGTAGTCATGTAAACTTCCAGCTGTGAGAAATGCTGTTACATTCCATTTATTTAGTCCCTTTTTGTTTTTCCTCTGTGACATGACAGGTTTTTGTTTTGTTTTGTTTTGTTTTGTTTTTAAAAAATACAGATAATCTAAAATAAAAAAAATGGGGCCTCAGATCTTACAAAACAAGTATACAACAAAATCTAAGGGAAGTCAGAGCAGAGCTTGTGCTAAAAGCCCTGTGGTCAGCCTCAGTCAGCGATTTGATCTGTGACTGATGGCTATATTTTTAAA